ATATTATATCAATGAATATATATGTATATATAAAATATATCTATAAACACTTGACCATTTATAATATTCTTGAAATTTCGCGACTTTCGTGACATAGCTCATTTATAGGCGCACCAAGTACAGTGGAAGATCTCGATGGTCGTCCGTACGGTCCGGAAGCCGCATCAATAACATGGAGATCACCTGCACAACCTAATGGGCAAATTACCGGCTATACTTTGGTATATAGGCTTAAATCTCGTGGTGAATGCGGTCCACGTTCTTCACAACCTATTACTCGAAATACTAAAGATGAAGAAATTACACTGGAAGGACTATTACCTGATTCCACCTATGAAATACATGTAACAGCACATACCTCTGAGCCTGGTCCTCAATCAAATATCATCACTGTTACAACTGATGAAGCTGGTAAGTTCATTTTTTTTTTATCTCTAAAATATGAGTTTTGTTGAAATTCATGCATTAAATGAAATCATACGTTGCATTTGAATTTTTAAATTTAATCAATCAAAATAAGAATTATGATAGTAATATCGGTTTCCATTTTTTTTGCAAAATCCTTTAGTCTAATAATATTATTATTTTATTATGTCAAAATTAGTGAATGAATCTGTTGAGTTTAAAATGAAGAAAATTTCCTACTTTTACCAATTTTCAATTTCAAAGTTTTTGTTAAAATTCTTACGTCGTTAAATTTTATCGGGAACAACTTTGAGACTTCTGCAATATCTGCTTTTTTTGACAGCCGAGCATCTCATTTGCAGATAAATCGATGTTGAAATAAGGGAGAGGTAATTTTAAATTTGAGATTTGAAAACATTCTATACATTTCCTCACATTTCTTGAAACATTTCGAGAATGTCAAACAACAAAAACTGACAGAGTAAAAGTTATATTATTACAATTTTAGTAGAGGTAATTTTTTTTACATTATATTTGGATTAGGTAATTCAGAAAAAATCTTTCTTGTAACCTTTTACTTGCTTTATTGTTTTATTTGTTCCTTCTCTC